AATGGAAGAGAATTTCATTAGAAAGAGAGAGGAAATTAATGGAGGAAAGAGAGATTTTGAAAAACATAAATGCACTAAATTGGATTTTGGAGACTGAGGGGAGAAACACGCAAAAATAAATTTCTCCTCGCATCACCATTAATGTGATGGGAGTGGAACGTGATTGCTGTTTAAAAGAAGAGAGGAAAGGAGAATTCAGATTTGTTACGGGAGATCCAATATAAAGTTGAGGGTATACTATCGGTTGGGTTTAAAAACAATTTACAAGTTGGGTTTGAAAATGAATCATTTATGATACTTTGAGGGAATGAGTGTCTATGGAAGTGAGTAGGTTTTTTAATATATGGGGTTAAAACTTTGGGTTAAAAGAGAAAAGTCCTTTAAAATATTAATTAGTGATATCATTGTTACATTTCCACATCTGCACATTGTTTACGTCAGGAGGTTAGTGGAGATTAGTAAGAATTAGGGGTACTTAATCTCCTTTGACGATTGATCAGACTAGGTAGGTGGATCCCTACACAAGCAATACCCGGTGGCGTGCCCTCTGACGCTCAAGTTAGTGATTGGTGGAATTAGTATGAAGAAAAATGCAAGACTAAGTTTTGGGTTCATAGAGTTCAGGCCTGAGAATGGTGATGGTCTCTCTGTTAAGTCTCATGTTTATGAGTCTATTGTGTAATCTAATTTTGATAATTAATAAATAATTCCTAATGATGTTTTATAATATCCGTGTTTTCCTCCAATATACATCCAGGTTGGAGAGGTTGGTTGGACTTGAGCTTTAACGATGATATTCTTAGAGGTTGGGGGAAATTGAAATAAAACCATCGCAATTCAAGTCAAATAAGAGATCATTCTTCATCTCTACTACCAAGTTGAGAATTGTCCAAGATCGAGCTCAAATGAAGACTTTTAGCTTGGGTATAGTAGTTTAGTTTTATACTTTATGTGGAAGACTTTTAGCTTGGGTATAGTAGTTTAGTTTTATACTTTATGTGTTCATGCTTAAAGCTCAAATCATATACACACACATTTAGGGTATAGTAGTTTAGTTTTATACTTTATGTGTTCATGCTTAAAGCTCAAATCATATACACACACATTTATTTCATATTTATTGCTTATACATCCTTTTGTGAGTTAACATGGTTTTCAGATTATAGACTAAATAACACTATTTTACATCTTTTGTAAAGTGTATCAATCACTTAAAAAAAATCTCAAAACTTGTTTGAAAGGATTCCATCAAAATCAAGTTTTTAACGAGTTAGTATTCTTGAACGTTTTGCAAAATAGTAAGTTTTTACAAATGAGAAATGATATTTTAAAACTTTTCTTCTAACATGTTTATTTTCATGTGTATAAATGTTTTCTCAAATTTTACTAAATTTGGAGTTATTTTACTATTTTGAAATGATTTTAGAAAATGAGCTTTTTAAAAGTCAAGAACCTGCTGTGATGTTTATCGGTCGACCGATGGGTTCCACCAGTCGACTAACCAGAATAAGTTTTTCAACCTTCCTTTTTACAGATAAATCAGTCAATCGATCAAGACGATCAGTCGACCAATCAACGGTCATTTTCCTGTAACGGCTAGTTTCTGTTTTTGGTTGTTTGAGAGGCTATAAAAAGCCCTCAAGCCTTATTTGTTCTTAAGAAGTTTATTGGAGTGTTTTGCAGCAAGTTTTTGAGATATCAAGTATGTTTTATTTATGTGAAGAGAGTTTCGCAAAGAGAAGAATTTCAATTTCAATTTTGAGGCGTTCATCCTCAAATCTCTACATCTCTTTGTTTGGAGAAGTTTTCTAAACTCTTCCTCTAGCTAATTGATAGTTCATCCTCAAATCTCTACATCTCTTTGTTTGGAGAAGTTTTCTAAACTCTTCCTCTAGCTAATTGATATTTTTGGTTCTCATATATATAAGCTAGAGTTTGGAGAAGTTTTCTAAACTCTTCCTCTAGCTAATTGATATTTTTGGTTCTCATATATATAAGCTAGATTTATTTGAGTTTAATTTTGTTTTTACTCATTGTTTACTCATACACCCACTTGAGCTTTAGTATTTCACATATTGTATATTTGGTTTGTGAGGTTGATTCATTGAGTGTGCTTACATTTCTTTCTCATTTGTATTGGAAAACAAATCCTTTATCCGCACTTATTGTTGAAACACGTTGTAATACACATGAACTTTTAGAGGAGTGGTTGGAGAGAGGCCGGGGTTAATTTCAAGAGGAGTGGGTTGGTAGTAAAGCCTAGGGAGAGGTTGTAAATCCATACACTTGAGAAATGTAACATGAGTAGTACAACACTTAGAGGAGTGTGACTTGTTTGATTGACAACGTGTGAGTTGTAAATGTTATCGGTGAACGTTGAAAATTATTATTGTGTAGTTATTTTGAGTTATAGTGGAGATCTCCTCGAGGTGAGGAGCGGAGACGTAGGTCGAGGGTTGACCGAACTCCATGATCATATCGTGTGTTTGCGATTGTCTTTTGCTCATTATTTCACTTTTCATCTTGTGCTTGTTTATATCGATCATTGTTATCTTATTTATCCTTGCATATCCTTGCATATAATTTGTTGTACATCATATTGTTAGGATATTGCATTGAAAAGTTTTTATTTGGCATCAATATCAGAATCACTCTTTCATATTGTGCTTATTCTTATATCACATATTGTCTCATTATTTATATCGCCTATTGTTTCATTATATATCCTTGCTTATATTGTTGTATATATCATCATCGCTAGGATAATTCATTATTAGTTTTAATTTGGCATAAAAAACAGATTAGATTAGCAATTACCCTATTCAGCCCCCCTCTAGGGTACTTTCACTCTCATGTTACAAGAGATATGGAAGGTAGATTGGTAATTTGACTCGGGCAGTGAAAATGGTATTTTGTTTATGCTTTACACCTATCAACACTAGGTGGGCGAATATTCGTGAGAGTCATCCATATCACATTCAATGTGACAGTGACAGAATGACAGGGTGCAAGTGTTCGTCCGAAGAGTCATTATTACCTCTAACCCGCATTTAATATAATTGCGACTAGGTGACATAGTATGGGCAATGCCCGAAAACTCAACATCATGTCTGGTCGTGTATTAAATGCGGGTGTCTTTGACGAGGTGGTCTGATGTGCCCCCAGACTTATGATAATCTCTGGCAGAGTTCGACCTAAAGACGCCTCCCGAACTAGACTGAGATTAGCAAAGGGGTCGGCCAGTCCAGACAAATTGTCACTATACTAGGTTGGGTTTCTCATCATATGACCTGACCCACTTTTTTGACACGTGGCTAATTCTCAAGGGTTTATAAAACTTGTGATTTTTAAGGTATAACACACATATTCTACATTTCTCGCATCTTTGCATTCCCATGAATTTCTGAACTAGATAAATTTGATATGTTTTTCAGTCTTTTTAGGATAATATGCTTGTCTAATTTATTAGTGAAATAAATTTTTACATGCGTGAAACACAACCTGTTCATTACACTTTTGGTATTATCATTATTTTAGCAAAATTATAATTTTTATATTGTACTGCTGAGTAAGTTGTTTCTGAGTAAAAAATTAAATTTGTTAAGTACTTTTCTTTTTGAATAATCAATGTTTTATTTGCTAAGTTTATTGATTAATAAAAAACCAGTTAATTCTTTGTTATATCATTTACTTTCTTTAATATTTATTTTCATGAAAAAATAGTAATTCAGATGTATGTAAATTCAGTTTATTTTATTTTGCTGATAAATTTACATGCATTTGAATTATTAAAATCAAATCAACTAAATTTACATACATCTGAATTAGTATTTTTTCATGAAATTAAATATTAAAAAAGCAAATGATCTAACAAATGATTAAATGTTTTTTTCATGAAATTAAATATTAAAGAAAGCAAAAGTTTAATACAAACATGTATAAATTATGCACAAGAACACTGATTAGTAACCGTCCACATTATCCCCCAAGTACGTTTGTAAATTATGGTTCCATGATTCTTATATGTGGCGGTTACTAATCAAATAAAAATCACATTCATCATGACTTGGTTAAACTTGTACAAGTATATATTTGAGAAAATTAAAGTTTTAATCCAATATTTATATTAGATACTCATTCGTGAGGTTTAAGAGAATAATGTATTCCAAAAATTTTGATACAACCTCTTAGGTTTGTGAATACTTATGTTTAATCTAATAAAATCGAAATTTTCTTTCACTTAATCAAAATTGAAATACGGTTATTAAAAAAACAAAATTGAAATACAATTATAAGAAAATATTTGAGAAAATTGATTTTTTAATTCAATATTTAATTACATGATCCTTTTTATATTTTTTTCTTTCCCGCCGATGTGGGATGACTTGGATCCTACAAGATCAACTTTTAGATTCACCTCCTATTCTGGTTCAGATCAAACACCCAATAACAAAAAAATAATCCTATCGGATCCACATGCAATAGAATTATTGTGAAAAGTCGTTATTCAAAGGGTAAAAACATTTTTTTTTTGTTTGGACTTTTTTGGTGTTAATCTATATATTTTTACATTCTGAATTAGCCTCTTAAATCTACATTTTTTGCATTAGTCTCCCAAATTGATAATAGCCCCTACATCTTTATTTTTTAATTAGTCTCCCTAATTTTCATGTGCTATGAGTAACCCCCTAAATTTCATATTTTGAATTAGTCCCCAAAATATTTTTAAATGTTTTGAAACTAGTCTCTCAAGTTAGCATGAGGTTAAAAAGTTTGTGGGACTAGTTTTAAAGAACCTAAATTATCATGGGGGGCTAATTCCAAATCATAAAGATTTGGGCGACTAATTTTAAATTAGTTAAAGATTTGAGAGACTAGTATTAAAAAATAAAGACACGAGGGACCCTTCTAAAAAAATATGAGAGATTTGGGACTAGTATTAAAAAAACCCAACTTTTTTTTACCCCTCACGTCATGTGGAGACGAAGAAACCCACATTAATTAATTCAGAACCGGGGTCTAGCTCTTTCCCCTTATCGTTTTCTCACCTTCTCTCTCTTGGCCCAACCTACCCCCCTTGCTGAATTTTTACCCTCTTCAAGTTTTTGGATCAGAGATTTATAAGGTAGCAAACGAATCTTTGCTTCTTGTACTTTGGGAAAAAACCCAGAGGCTAGAAGAGTCTAATTTTGCCTGTAATATAAATTTGAAAGAAATCATGGTATGGGCCTTTTTTCCCGTGAGTTCATTTGATGCATATTTTGGGTTTTTTTATTTATTTATGCGTTTATGTGTGTCGGTGGACTTTTTGGTTCTTTCAGTTGTCTAGTGAATGTAGAAGTCTTAGCGGTAGTAAATTCTGTTTTTTGCTTGATTTTAACTGATTCTAGCGATTAACCTAGTATTTTCATGATGGAGAGAGAGGTATCTGAATGGTTTTAGTCAAGCAGGTTTCAATAGATTACCTTCCGTTTTCATTTTTTGTTGTTAATATGGTGAATAATTGATTTTCGCTATTTGCTTTGCTTTTATATGCATCCTAAGTTATGTTGAAAAGAAACATTTAAAATGTTAGTCATTTGATAAAAGATTATGATTTGATGTGCAGAATTAAACAACTAATTCTAAAACTTTGCAAGCGTTTGTGTCTCCCATTGGCTTCCCAATTGCGTTGTAAACTTTCAATTCTTTGACCATCTATCCAACTGTTACTTTCAAAGTTAACTGTGTACATAGAATTGGGGTACTAGATTTGTAATCCATTTTCTTTTATTGACGATCTCCTTGTATGTTTACTTTTCGGTCATTAATGAGGTGGGTTAATGCATGCTCATGCTCTATGCATTGAGATAAGCACAAAGCTTGTTTTTTGTTGAACCGCTTTGTCTTCTATACTTATTGTGTTTAATTCTGCCATCAATTAGGCTGTTGGAGTTAGGCAGGAGGTAGAGGGAGTTTGGATTAATGGCTGGAAACCCCAACAAACCCTGCAACACTGAAACTACTAAAGAGGAGAAAGGAAAAGATAGCAATAAAAAGAAAGAGGAGGAGAAGGAAATGGCTCCAACATCATCTAGTGCTATGCATCGGTCGAGCTCAAGACCTCAACTAGATGTCAGTGGTGCTGCTATACAAGGAAATTTCGAGGAGAGGAACCCGACGATTCTATTGCCTAATCAGTCTGATGACATCTCACACCTCGCTCTTGACATTGGAGGTCTGCTTTGGCTTTACCTTTCCTTGTTAGTTCTGTTTATTTTCAGATCATTGCTTAAAGAAGTTGATTGCAATTTGAGTTATCTACAAGTTAAGGATCTATACAGATAAATAAATGGTGTTCCTCTATTTATTTATTTTTTGAAGCACCTGATTTTGGGTTATCTACAAGTTGAGTGATGTATGTTTTTTGTTATTTGGGCTTCAGATCTGCATATAGTCTGTGTCTGCTTGTTATTTTGTTCTCCTTTCTGATCCATAGAAAGGGAAACTTGAGTTTGTTTTTTTAACCTTTTTGGGAATTGGTCCTGGCCGATTTTTTTATTTATTTGTATAAAATCCTCTATAGATTCTGAAGATAGATGTCTCTCCCGTTTAAACCCTGGCACACATGCTTTATGCTTAAATTGATTTCTCTTACATATTACATGTGTCTCTCTAACCTTTCTTTGTGAAGGTATAAGGTGAGACTTAATGATCTTTTTACTAGTAAACATGGCAATCTCTTTCCTTGCCTAAGGTAACCATGTTGAATATTGGACATCTAAACACATCATAACACTTTGCTGATGAATGTATAGTAGGCCCTTTTGTGTTTCCTTTGGGTGTTTATGCATATGCCCAGAGCCGGCCCTGGGTTTTCTAAGGCCCAGGGCAAATTTTCTCAAGTGTGCCCCTTTATACAAATTAAACAAATAAATAAATAAATTATCAATTAATTAATTTTATTAAAATTATAAGATTTTACAAAATACAATCTTCTTTTCATTGCATTAAAAGAAGGAAAAAGAGTACTCGGCCAATGTTTCAGTTGAATCAAATAATAAATAAGAAAAAGTTAAAAAGATATGTATTACAAATTTACAATTTACAAAATTTATACATCTAAATTCTATATGTTATTGTAAAAAAAGTACCTTCAAAGAAAGTCGCTGCCTATCAGTCCAGTCGAACCCCACGAGGTCAGAGTTGGGGCTTAATCAAGAGCATCCTGATACAAAAGTTTAGATTAAATACTGAACCATAAAATCAAGAGTTAATGAGTTATCAAAGGAAGTTCAACATTTCAGAGCTCTGGCTCATACACAATTGAATAACATAAGCAAAACCCATCTGATTTCTCTTTTGAGATCTAGCAAATGCGCATCACACATTATACGCATTCTACACCTCACAAAGATATAAAAGATTACTCCTTTTTTGAGTAATGAGCTTAGTTTGAATATGCTTGACTTAAAATCATCAAAAAGTCACTTTGCTGAATTCAGAACTCTCAAGAACAGTCAACTGGGTCTTCCCCAAAGTTTGTCTACAACTGTGTTTGACCAACTAATCGAAGATGTGGATCCCTTCTATTCAATTATGCCCTTTTAAATTGAGCAATCAGCACCAAAATTGACATAGCTTTTACTCAATTAGGGGGGTGGGGGTGGAGTAAACAGAGGATTACTGACTGCATCAAAAAGAAAAAAGGAAAAAAAATCATCGTGATTAAACTCACCAGAGATCCAGAAGGAGAAGAGGAGCTGAGGAGGAACCCTAAAAATCGAGATCAAAACGTAAAAGACATCGCAATCGAAGACAAATTTAGAGATTTGTTTTTCTTTTTTTTTCTTTTATTTCTTTGGGTCTCTTTTTCTTTGTTGGGTGTGCGCCAAAAACAACGGTGTAGTGGAGAAGGGGGTAAAATAATCTGCGGTCCAGCCCAGAGCCGGCCTAGGGCCTAGGGGTAGAGGTGAAGAAGACTAGGCGGTGACAGAGAGTTGTAAACTTGTAAATTGTAAATTGTAGCTCACCCCATAGTTTGTTCACCCACCTCTAGTGCCCCTCTCAGTTTTGGGCCCCGGGCTGTAGCCCTGGTGGCCCTACCCCTAGGTCGGCTCTGCATATGCCATAGTTCATGTCTGCTTAATTACAAGCAAACAGCGAATACACTGCTACTACCACATCAACTTCTTCAGTTTTCTTTTTAATTTTAGCATTTCTGTACATATGAAGTATGGTTGGTTTACTATTCATCCGAGTTGTGATATGTCAGCTTTATGGTGCCAGGATCCCTTATCAAGCTGGTTTACTTTTCACGGCGTGAGGAGCAGTCATCCCATGATAAGAGGAAGAGATCATCAAAGCAAAGGTTTTGGATTTCTAACGGAAACAGAAGGAGCTACCCGATTCTTGGTGGAAGGCTCCACTTTGTAAAATTTGAGACAGGAAAGTTAAATGAGTGTGTTGATTTCATTTCGTCCAAGCAACTTCATCGTGGTGGTATGTATGATGTTCTTCTCTTTCATTGTATCATTAAAAAAAAGCTGATATGCTTACTTTTTGCATACAGATTCCCTTTCACTATGAGGGTGTAACCACTTATATCCCACAAACTATTATATTGGGCGGTTTAGTGAAATTTAACCTAATTTCATTACTTTCTTAATTTCTGGAGCAACTCAACTCTCATTGGGAGAGCAAACATCTTTTTGTTGATTGACTATTCTTTAGGAACATTTCTTTTTTCAAATTCATTTGTGATGTGCAGCAACACATTTTTGGTATCCCTTTCTATGCTTATCTAAACTTCTTTTAATTTCCAGGAATTGATTCACCTTCATGGCGTTCTGGGAGTCAGACTGATCAGAATATAGTAATTAAGGTAATTGAACTAATAGCATAATATTATGAAAATCCTAGGACTTGCAATTCATTTGTAGTGCTTATTTTTTGATGTTCAATTCCATACATATTTTGTTCTCCCTGGTAAAACTGTGAACATGCAACCAGAAGTCTGTAATTGTATTCATAAATTGACTCTTTTACAAAGACTTTTGAAATCTCTATGCAAGATATATTAGTAGATTGTTTCTCATTCATGATGTCAAGGCAACATTTCATTTAGTAATACAGGAGGCAATGCATTTACTCTCAAAACTCTTTAGAGTACGAGCTCAGCCCATTATGTCGGTAGAACCTGTTGATAAGGAGGTAAGATGATACTTTCTTTCATGAAGGTTAGACATGGAGTAGAGATGTGAAATGGTAATGTGACTGAAAAATATAAGAACCACGTGAAGAGATACCAATCATCTTGGCTCAAATAAATTGCCTGGACCTTTTACATTATGGCCAGTGTTAATTTATCTTTCTACATTAATACGGGTGTATCTTCTCTTCGGAAGCTTAGCGATCCTCATGAGAGCTTGAGGATAGATGATTCTCATGATAGCATGAGAATAGGGGTGTAAAACAGTACAGTGGACCGCATGTGGAAGCGTGGAACGAGACGACGAGCAGCAGATTCGAAGAATCCAGTTTTCAGCTCGTGAGTCGACTCATACATGTACATGAGTCGACTCATCAGGTTGAGTCGACTCATGACTGTCATGAGTCGACTCACGAAATCAAGCCCTGTTAGTAAAAGTCTCTGACCAGTCGACTCATCAATTATGAGTCGACTCATATGAGGTCATGAGTCGACTCATATGAGGTCATGAGTCGACTCATCTCGGTCATGAGTCGACTCATCGACGGTTTCCTGATTCGTTTGGGTTTTTGTTCACACGGATTCCTGTTGGTTTTGGGCTTGGTTATTTACCAGATTGTCATCCACGTTTGTACACCTATATAAAGGGTTGTTTAGGGTTTCTAAACATAAGTTTTATGATCTTAGATCAGAGAGATTCTAATCTTTGTATTAGGGTTTAGAGAGGATTGAGAGGTTGTTCTCGATTCTAGTGAGATTGTGAGGGAGAGATTGTAATCTTTTGTTCTTCATAATCTAGAAGAAGGTATTTTCCTTCGCCATACTGAATTGTCTTGTGTTTTAGTTCTCTTCTTCTCAACCCATCTTTTGGTAATTCCGCGACCAAAGGGTGCTCGCACGGCAACTCGTATCATACATAGTAAGAGAGGGTTACTTTTCTTTCTAACAGATATTACTTTATCTTGCATTAAGGCAACACATACACAAATTAAAAGGTATTATCCATGTGACATGATTATTCAGGAAAAAATGCACAATAACTTTCGTGATTGTTCAAATGGATAAGTCTTATATTCTTTGGCGTGCCTTTAACACATTCTTTAAGTTTCACATGGAATTTAATGCAACCTATCACTTTAGACATAGTGGACTTAATGCATTCACCAATCATGTGTAAATGTACATTCAGATTATGTTGCTTGTTGAGGTGAGTTTATTAACTAATTAGTTTTCATGGAAAGGCCACAGGTGGCGGAGCATATAAATTTGCAGATGTCTTTCGAGAGAGACTTGGGGTTAGTCTTGAGAAGGAAGACGAAATGGACTGTCTTGTAGCTGGAGCTAATTTCTTGCTTAAGGTAAGTTTCTGCTAATTAATGTAACTTTTTTTCTGTATCTCTATAAGATATTTTGACATATCATTGAGTTTCGTGTCTCAGTTTCAAGTTTGAAATGGTCTGATATATTCAAGGCATACTTGATTGGAATAATACGAAGAATCATAATTTTTTCATTTTACTACTGTGTTCATATGCAGGTCCATGTGCTTCCATTGTGCAATATATTGTCTTTTTGTGACTAACAATGATCTGAGAAATCAGCTGATACTACAAGCCTCTTCTTATAAGTTCAATACAATTCTGGTTAGAGTTGTTTTTTCTAAAAGATAATTGAGTAAAAAATATTGTGGTTTCTGTTTGTTTACATTTCTCATTTAATGGAGTAAACTGAAGTAAAAGGGTGGTTATAGCCTATGTATGCACTTGAAATAAACTGTTCTCAATTATTCTGTCTCAAAGTGCGTGGAAAGATAATTCTGACAGTATCTGTGCATACTTTACATTATGGGCATCATATACTGCAAGGAAATATATGAAAACTTTTTGTAATAATATGGATGTATGGGAAGTCTATCATGGTATTATAACATAGGGTAAGATATAGTGATTTAATACATAGGGTCACAATTGAAAATTTGTCGATAATTATGTTTTCATTACATTAGTAAGGGTTCAGAAAGTTAAATATGCGATTAAATTTTACTGAATAAAGAGGTCAAGGATAACATTCGTTATGTGACTGGCATACAGTGTATTCTATTGAATACAGAAAATATAATTTCAGTTCTTTTAAGGCCTCCAGCATTGAACCTTTTGCATATTAGAAATGGTTTATATATGCATGATGCTGACAGGCAATTCGGCATGAAGCTTTTACACACATGGAGGGCCAGAAGGAGTTTGTGCAGATTGATCATAATGATTTATTTCCATATCTTCTTGTCAACATTGGCTCTGGAGTTAGTATGATCAAGGTAAAGAATAAATCTAGCTTTTCTTAAATCACTTTTACACAAAAACTTGGACATTTGTTTCAACTTGTGCTTCATGTAGGTAGATGGTGATGGGAAGTTTCAAAGAGTTAGTGGTACAAATGTTGGAGGAGGTACTTATTGGGGCTTAGGGAGGCTATTAACAAAGTGCAAGAGGTTTAATGTCTTCTTTTTCCTGATTATTGCAACTCATATCCTGAATTTTGGGTTTCTATTATCTTTCATTTATTTCTTGTTCCAGTTTTGATGAATTGTTAGAGTTGAGCCAGAGAGGAGACAATAGTAATATTGACATGCTTGTCGGAGATATATATGGTGGATTGGACTATTCCAAGGTATTTATCTTTTAATCCAATCAGAGGAAATAAGCAATCAATGCGTGTCATTTTAACTTTCACTGTTGATTTATCTTTTTCTTTCTGAATTTTGTGAATTTTGTTTCTTGTTCTGAGGCACAAAACATGTTAAGAACCATGAAGAATATCTCTAGCAGTCATCAATCTCGCTGTTGAACCTTGTCAGTCAGAGGTGTTCTCTGTAGCTTAGGATTTTACTTATTCTTTTTCTTTTAAAAAAATTCTGTTGACATACCACCTTCAATGCTAACAGAAACCTCCTTGATCACTTTTCTCCTCTACCATGGTTCTTTCCATCCACTAGAAGCCATGTTGTTATATTCACTTTCATTCCCATCACCCTTCTAATTTCTATGCCACCCAGCAGTTAGCAACTTAATGTTATTTTTTATTTTTCCTTCCCTTTTTCTTTTTCTTTATCAAGTTTCTATCAAACAATTGGTCTCCCGGCTAAATGTTACATGGTCAGTAGGGAGATGTGGAAATGAGGATGATATAGAGTGGACATTGAGTCAACAATGACTAACCAAACAATTTTTAATAAGGATATAATGATCTGATATGCTATAAAGACCGACACACAGAAACAAGCCCCGAGTCCGTGTCCGACGCGTGTCGGATGCGGACACGCGTTCGACACGCGTCAGACACGCGGTCAACGCCACCGATGCGGGTCAACACCCCGACACGCCCCCGGCTCGTTCCCGACACGGCTAGGATTCACGAACAAAAAAGAAAAATCCGAAATCCAAACCAACACCCAAACCCTAATTTCTTCACTTACCAGAGTCCCGACGCCGCCAACCACAATCCCTTCGTCTCGTTCTCATCCTCGTCGGCTCATTCTCGTCCTCGTCGAGAGAGATCAGCTCGTTCTTGTCCTCGTCGGCGTCGGCCCTCGTCGTTGCTAGGTGAGTCTCTCTCTCGATCTCTCGATCTCTTCGCCTCTCTCCCGATCTCTTCGTCCTCGTCCTCGTCGCTGCTAGGCCGTTGTCTCTGTCCTTCACCGCCAGCGCTTGCTCCGCCTCCACGCCCACCTCTTTCGACATTTTTGGCCTTTTTAGGGTTTCAGTGAGCTGTTGTTGTGAGAGAGAGGGGGGATTTATGGATAAGGGGAGTACTGGAGTCAAGGGGAAGAATCTTCTAGAGGAGAGAAGGGATTGGTGAAGATCTGGCCGTTGATTTTGTGAGGTGGACAGTGGATGAGGTGGATTAGTAAAAATTACACATATTATAAAATAATAATATAGAGAACTTAATGATTCGTTGAAGTTTTGAAGAATGCTTTGAACTTTTGAGCTCATACAGCCTCCTTGGGCCTAGCCCTCCATCAAATCAATCCCAAGTCACTTCTTTTTTATGAACCGTCACTTCTCTGCCAATTCATTATGAATACTCACTTCATATTTGCTTACATGTCAGCCCAAAAATCCTAAGCCCGGTCCACAATCAGAGACTTCTTATTTGCTTTTTTACTTTATAAATTTTTCTATATATAATAATATTTTTTTAAAAATCTTTTATCTAATCTGTATATAATAATAATATTAAAAAATCTAGCCATGTCGTCGTGTCCTATTTTTTTGGGTTTTGTCGTGTCCGTGTCGCCGTGTTCGTGTCTGTGCTTCATAGCTGATATGGACGGCCATGAGTTATGTATCATTACTTTGCTGAAAGGAAACTTGAGGAATGCTTGTGTATTTAAGTATAATCTTCATGGGGAGCGTGTTGATAGCAAAATGGGGAAATTTTTACAAATAATTGAAGGTTGTTTTGCAATGTTTTAAAAAGTGGTCTGGGCGCCATCCTAGGCACCGCCTAGGCCTAAGCGGTAATTAGGCAGCAGACCTAGGTCTTATGAGTGCCTAGGGGAGCATAGGCGGCTTAGGCGGATTGCACCGCTCATGTCATGGTTGTGATTTCCTCTACTACTGCCCCCATGTTCTCCAACCTCCTTTGGCCTCCTCCATCGATTCAAAGCACCTCCTCCACTGACTCTGACCTTTAGCAAAACCTCCACATCTAGTTAAACAAAAAAAAGGAATCTGCCTAGGCTCTAGGCTGTGGGTTGGCGCCTAACGTTTTCTGTAATATTGTTGTTTTGCAATAACATGCACAAAACTTCTTTGTGTGTAACGAGCCAACTATATGCATTGTATGATATTACTGTAGTTCCTTGATCTTTAATGCCTTTTGTCATCTACCTTTTTTAATAATCGTTTGAGGTTTGGTAATTTGTAAAGAAAAACGATCTTCTTTTCAAAATTATTAATACACTTGTGCACCTTTTGCTCTTTTTGCATGTAGATGTTGACATATTGTATAATTTAGACATTGTTAACATTGTGCTTTGTTATCTCGCTCCATAAATTTATAATCTGATATGAAAATAGAAGTTATCTTTCATTGTGTGAGGACTTTTTGCGACATCAGAAAAGATTCTTGAAGGGATGATTTACGATCTATACAATTTGATGGCTTATCAACGACTTTGTATCAGACATTCAGGATTATATACTATTTCTGTGAAATTCTTGCCTTGCTACTTTAAATTGATATTTTCTCAGGCTAGTGGCTTGTGGCTCTTTCTGTATATTGTAATATGATGATGATCTTTGATCTCAGTATGTTAGTAGTTGGTTGTTGGATTTTACTTCCAAGTAAATTTCAACATCCTTTTTAATGTATGCATGACTAGTATCTCCTCTTATAATGGTTGAATAGATTAACAGTATCTGGATATTTTAATTGATGCAGATAGGTCTCTCGGCATCAACTATTGCCTCTAGTTTTGGAAAGACAATTTCAGAAACCAAGGAGCTGTCTGACTACAGGCCTGAGGATATTTCTCTATCCCTCTTGCGGATGATTTCATACAACATTGGGCAGGTTAGTCTCCCTAGTCAGTACAATAATTCTTTTTTGCTTGAGGCACATATAAGTGGTGAAACTCCTATCCATCCATGAAAGTGACATGTTTAATTGCATATTTTTTCTGTTTATATCTGAAATTTCTGGTAATTACTTGCTTTTGAGAGAGTTGTCTAATTATGTGGATTGCTCTACCTTATGCAACATTTACATTTACTTTGGTACTTCTAGTATTTTTCTAGATACTTATCTTTATGATATTCTGAAACAACAAACCATGTACCTATTTGTTATCAAGGAGGATTGGCTCAGATGCTCCGCAATCTTAGACCAATGTAATGAAAAGTGCTCATTGTGTACTGTTCATCTTCCAGCTATCTAAACAAAGTAATAAACTAGTTGACCATACTGAAGACTAACTAGCATTGTACATCAACATAGTATTTACGTCTGCTGTTCGCTCCTTCTGACTAAAGAAAAGCTAACTGGACGTTCACATTTCCCTTCTATCACACCAAAATATTTTGAACTGTCTAGTGAGTCTCATTACAAGTTCAAACTAGATGTTAGTTCTTTGGTGATGCAATGGTGTCAGTCTTGTTTAAATGGGCCATGGTCCAAAGTAGTTGTAAAACTTTGGTCTTTCTTCCCCTTTATTTTTGTATCTGCTCTTGTTGTTTGGACTTGGGATAAATGCTTTGTTGTTATTGTTGTTGTTGTAGCTCTTGTTGTTTGGAGCCTTAGTTAGGAAGAATAGCTTTTTATAAGTTGAGATGAATATGCGCTTGTCCTTTGATCTATTCTTCTATGTATATGTATATGTATATGTATGTATATGTGTGTGTGTATTAGGAATAATGATGGCACATTAATGACTTTGACTTAGTTTATATTGTCTTGTACCTTCGCATATCTCTTATTCAGCTTATATATGTAGATCTCGTATTTAAATGCACTTCGCTATGGACTCAAAAGAATCTTTTTTGGAGGATTTTTCATTCGAGGCCATGCTTACACAATGGATACCATATCCTTCGCTGTGCACTTCTGGTAAGCATCATAAAAATTTGAGCTTTTTAAAGCTTTCCATAAAATTTTCTTCTTTGTTTCTTACCAAGCTTTCTGGGCAAGAGATGAAGTTTTTGGTATTAGCATAAAGGAGATATTAGCTTTCCTTAATGTGCTTATTTGCTTTTGTGATTTAGTTCTAAAGAATCAAATGAGAATGGTTCTACTATTTTATATCGCAAATTAATTTAACTGTTCTTGAATGCTATATTGTTTTAAGGTCAAAAGGACAGGCACAGGCCATGTTTTTGCGCCACGAGGGATTTTTAGGAGCTATTGGTGCCTTTATGAGTTATGAAAAACATGGACTCGATGACTTGATGGCGCACCAGTTCGTTGAACGATTTCCTATGGGGGCTCCTTATGTTGGGGGAAAGATTCATGGTCCTCCTCTTGGTGATTTGAATGAGAAGGTAAGATTATCACATTCCTACATATACATCGGTGATTTTACTATTTATCCTCGTTGGTTGCTTTTATTTTGTATTTATCCTAAAAATTCAAGTTTGTCAAGTTATAAAATCAAATCTATAATCATTCCTAATGATTGACTATGTTACCAGTTTACCCTTCTAAAGTTAATGCATGTTTCATAATGAGGTTACTCAGACTTTAATGCTTCTAAATGTGCACAAATCTTATGCTTATTTGTACAGAATGTCATGGCTTTTTATTGGAGTATTCATAAGAACGAAAATTTACTTACATGCAGATTTCATGGATGGAGAAGTTCATCCAGAAGGGTACTGAGATTACAGCTCCTGTTCCAATGGCTCCCCCAGGCACTACTGGCGTAGGAGGTTTTGAACGGCCGTCTTCCAAAGGTGATACTTTGCGTTCAGATGCAAGCGCTGAATTAAATATTGGGGTTCTCCATCTAGTACCTTCATTGGAGGTGTTTCCATTGTTGGCAGACCCTAAAACGTAAGCTTCCATAATCTGCTATTTTAGTGGTTTTAAGTAGATTATAATTTATTTCTTTTGTGATAAAAGTGAAGTCAAATCAAATGTTTGATCTTTTATTATCAACTGTCCTGTTTATAGTGGACAGTGATGTACCCGTTTTCTATTCGAGTTTTGAATTTGTAAGCAGTTGCAGGTTCTGCCAGTGCTGTTGTAAAATGTACTTGCTCTGATATTAGACATCTTGATCTGTTTACTTGAGCAAGTTGATTCCAAAATGAATGAAACGATTTCTTTTGCAGGTATGAACCAAACACTATTGATCTCTCAGACCATGGTGAGCTAGAGTAAGTTATATTTCTAAGATTTTTTTTTTCCATCTTCCTCTTTGGCCACATCACCATCATAGTTATCTATGACTCTATGTTGTACATTGCTGCAGGTATTGGTTTACAGTGCTATCAGAACATCTGCCTGATCTTGTTGATAAGGTATACTGGGAGTTTTTATCCTCGGAATACTTATTTTTCGTCTTTTGATAAGTCTGTAGTTACTTGATTATTGGAGATCCATTTCATAAGTGCAAGTAATTTTATATTTTGTTGCCTTGTCTTTGTCAACTGAAATTTTTGGGACAATCGCGTTTGTACTCTTTTTCATACTTTATGTGAAGCTATAATGGTTTCAAGAGAAGATCTCTCTTTTTCTCCTTTTATTGTTTCTGTTCTTACTCTTGCATAAAATTGAGAAGAAAAGGGCTGAACATCTTTGTGCTCTTTTGTTCTATCAGAGTTTCTATGTTGTACACCTTTTTTTTCCTTTTTTTTTTTAATTCCTGTTTTACTGTCTCCTGTGTTCTATCAGAGTTTCACTCCATTTTTTTGGATTCCTGTTTTACTGTCTCTTGCCATGCCAATTCCATTCCCAATTATGAGGTTACACAAAAAAAGGAAAAAAACCATTGGCTCCCAACTTCCCAAAAGGGCAAATTTTTATGACAATAAAATTAGAAAACAAAGAACAGGAAGAGAGTAATGATGTTTTGAGAAAAGTAAAATAAAATTAGCTGGGTCAAATTTTGGCTTTTACCTTAATGTAAGATTTTTGAAAATATTCTGCATAATATGAATGTTTAAACACTTGATTCCAGAATAACAGATTTCTAAATAACCCATGCTACCGTAACTTGTTCTCCTCGAAGAACCCAAATTTGATTCTGATCAATGGTCAGATACACCTGTCTATCAGTCCAGGGATGTACCTTAAGTATGAATATGCATTTTTAGCAACACTCGTTGTCTTTCATCTTTGCCGACACTTTTCCTAGTCTATGTAAATTGGGTGCAATGGTCCCTTTCTTGACTGCTGGACTCACTCTGTTCCGCACTATTCCTGCTTTATCGCGAACTGTATTTGTTATGTTTCCTGTGTTTCTTTCACTAAAAAGTCTTGGATGACTAAGCGGGTTTCTGAATTAATTTGTTTAGAAGGAAGCCAGGAAACATGTTTTCTAGATTTAAAATAGTGCTATACCCACTGTATTTTATTTAGTTTTTAACTTTTCTTTTTATCATACTCAATTTTGTTTTTTCAGTAACAAAAGAAATCCATGATGTACTGACTTCCAGCCTTCCAGGTCCTACTTTTATATCTTGTAATGTAACTAGACCGCATTTCATATCTTCTCATTTTCTAACTAGAAATGATGTATCATCGAGCTGCTTGATATGTAGTAACGTAAATTTCCACTTTCTCCACCAATATCAACGGAGATTGGGAGCTTAATTTATTTCCATCCTATGGCAGGCAGTGGCAAGTGAAGGTGGAACTGATGATGCTAAAAGAAGGGGAGATGCATTTGCTCGTGCTTTCTCAGCTCACTTGGCAAGGTTAGTCATGCTCCTGCTGTACGCAGTTTGACTGTGATGTGAATATGAACTTCATTTACTACTTCTGCATCGTCATCATCTTCTTCATGCATCCAGTTATTGTCACCTTTTTAAATTATCTTATGCACATGTAAGCTTGATTAATAACTTCTGCAAATGTTTTTGATGCTTTTGAACAAGAAATGTTTATGGTATTACTTAACTTCCTAGTAGTCCACATAAGTTGGAGAATAATGTATAATCTCAGTCAGTAAACTCACTTATCCAATATCAACTGTTTTTTATAGGTTAATGGAAGAACCTGCGGCATATGGGAAATTAGGCTTGGCCAACCTATTGGAGCTAAGGGAAGAATGTCTTCGAGAGTTTAATTTTACAGATGCATATATCACTATCAAACAGAGGTAAAACATGATATACACCAGTCAGTATCAAATTTTGCAGATGATTTAGTTGATAGGTTCTGACATCCTGTTTATTTTCTATCATTTTAGCTCTTTTGCCTTGAATATTTAATAAATATGTGACCATGCTACAATTCAAAATGCCTTTTATTTAAGTACGAATTTAAGCATATTAACCATAGACGAGTTTCTCAAAGTTTAGACTTGCGAGATACTTTGACTGATAGAACTAACTCAATATGGTATACAGTGCATCATGGTTTAAGAATATGAAATGCACCATTATGGGACAATAGATAATCTTTATGATTTTTTTTTATGTTTAGAGGCTTTTCCAATGTAATTGTTTAAATATTTCTGTAAGAAAGTCTCATTTCAATTGACATGTTAATTTCAGCTGACCTATGCTTTTTATACTTTCCATTTTGTCCTGATGTACTAGTTGCTGATGGCTTTACTATAAACCTTAGGCTTCTATGTCGTGGACGGCATATAAAACTTGGAAGGTCCCAGCAGTGTCTCCTCGTGTGAAAGCCCACATGTGCCGTTTGACACTGAGAAGTGACCACAAGAGGAAATAAAGGATACACATATAAGGACTTGAACCTAGAATCTTTCTTTTTTTTTCCACTCTCAGTACTCTGAATTATTAACCACTCTTTGAAAGTTCAAGCTGTTTAGGTAGAAAATTCCAAATGCTTAGAATCAGGAGTACTTTCGAGCTTTTATGAACACATTAAATGTTCTACTGTTGTCCAATAAAGCAATTCACTTCACAGAAAAAACTGAATGTTCTATTTCGTCTTGGAAACAGAAGTGGGTCCTAATGTCTACACACAGACATACATATATATACATTTTATGTACAGGCATACTGAGTTCTTTTTCTGTGGCTTAGGGAGAACGAGGCATCTCTTGCTGTTTTACCTGACCTTCTTATGGAGCTTGACAGTATGAATGAGGTACAATGGTGATCTTCATTATAGATCATTCTTATACACCACATACAGTGAATCTACGTCAAAAATAATATTTTGAAAATTTAATTTCTTGTTGCAAGTTATAGAACCAGGCCTGTAACGTGAGCATCTATTGAGGATGAAAATTTTTGAGTTAGCTGTTTCTCCTTGGGACAGTGTTTAGAAAAAACTAGTGGACAAGAATTCACAGCAGCATATCGCCTACTGGTGAATGATAATTACACAGCAAATTTGAAGGAGAAAATATACTTGATATGGATGTTTACATATTTTGTAGGAGAGGAGACTTCTCACTCTTATTGAAGGTGTTCTAGCTGCAAACATTTTTGATTGGGGATCTCGTGCTTGTGTGGACCTTTATCACAAGGGGACAATTATTGAAATTTATCGCATGAGTCGCAAGAAGATGCAGCGTCCTTGGCGGGTACATTAATAATTGAATCATGATGCCAACAAAACAATTTATGATATTTATTTTAATTTGTATATAGTTCTCTCTGGTTGCATTCTTACCTTGCTGCAGTCACTAATTGAAAATGTTCTGTTATTTTAGACAGATGATTTTGATTTATTCAAAAAAAGAATGCTTGGTTCTGGGGATCAGAATGTACAACCATATAAAAGAGCATTGCTGTTTGTTGATAACTCTGGTGCCGATATTGTTCTTGGCATGCTTCCTTTGGCTCGTGAACTACTACGTCGTGGAACTGAGGTTGGAATATAGACCTTTTTCTATTTTTTATTTTTTATGTCTACATGTAATAGTGAATGATTTTGCATGTGCTTAAAGTACTCTCCAGTGAAACAGGTTTCTTCACCTTACATATTGACCTTCTAAGAAATATAGCATGCCTATCTCTTCTTCATGTTCTCGTTTATCTCTTTTCAAATTAGGTACCAAGCTTTAGCATTAACTTTATAGCTGAATATTTGGTGAATCTTCCCATGAAGTCAAGTGCTACATAGCACCGTGGCAGATATCATTTTGATGGGGAAAGTTTTTGAAAGATTTT